ACACAGGGCCGCGCTGCAGGTGCAAATCGCTCCCCTGAAGCAAAGGTGACATAGCTCAGATTGCAAATCTCAGCAGCGCCGGCAGTCCGGACTGCCCAGCCTCTCTCTCCCCCTTTTTCTGCATAAAAGCATTTTATTTTCCCCTCTTCCTAAAAAAATAATGGGGTTTTGCTCCCCCCGGTAAGAAATATGAACCGTCTGGTTGCAGACCCAGGACACAAGTCCTGCCCTCATCTCACAGCCTTACACTACTGCCTGACCTTAGGCAAGCTCCCCTTCCATACACAGAGGATCTCTTAAAAGGCTTACGGGTTTTCTGTAAAACATTTCTACTTGTATAAAAAGGGCAAGGTGAAGAGAGTAATGACCCTTCTGCATAAACCCTTGTATGTAAACTTTAATACAGTTTCCTCAAAATTATGCCTGACTCCCACAGGACTTGTAACAGGCTGTCACAATTCTGCAAGGCAGCAGCGTGGAAACAGGGCTGCCGAGATTTTATCAGCAGCTTGGCCACTGGACTTCCAGTTTTGCTCAAGTTACTTTGTTTACCACAAAAGCACTTTGCAAAGGCTTAACAGACTCTGCAAGCCAGGAGATCTTTACATGAAATGCTCTCTATAAAAGGCCAAAATATGAAGAACATTTTCTCTCCCATCTCTTAACCCAGTTGGCTGTAAAAAAAAAAAAATATAAAATAAAGTGGAGATAATCCTGTCCCTTCCCAGGGAAGTAAATCAAGTGTCACCAAGGCAGCTGCTGAGAGAAAGCGTGCTGTCAGCACAGAAGGAGAGAGGACAGCTTCCTTCACAGGAGGCTTTTATTAAAACCGGGTGACGTCTACAAGGATACAGTAAAAAACCAAAAATTTTGGTCCATGGAAAAAACCATAATATTCAGTTAAGAAAAGCAGTTATTCTGCAACAGCTATGTTTGCCTACGCAGTACTCAGCATCCTTCATGTGTGATTACCCTGAGGAGTCAGTGGGCTGCTTCATCAGCACCAAGACCTTCACCCCAGTACCACAGAGGAGCCATTTCATAAGGGGGCAAAGGAGAAGGGAAGTCGAGAGTCTATTACTCACAGACATGTAGTAACACAGACACAAGGAGTAGGGCCACCCAGGCTCCCAAATTCATAGCAACCTTCCCAACCTCCCCAAAGCTGGGTGTAGGGGATGGGGGAGGTTCGTCAGTAACGTGACTTTGCAGCTATTCCAAGAGAACATGACCAACTTTCAAGTCCATTTGTGTTACAGTCCCGAGCAGAAATACAGAGATCCAGGCTAAAAGAAGCCATTCTCTTATGCCTGACCACTAGTTCACTAGTAATTCATTCCATGAAGAGGCATCTGGGCTGCTACTCCCACAGTAGAGAAAATCTACTTGTACATTCCTGAACCATGCTGGGCCTTACAGCAGCCCCAGAACCTAAAACTTGACTAAAAACCACAGGAGCTTCAGCATGGAAACACCTGCTAACGCGTATGCTTGGAGCTACATCCGTTCCCAAGGACTGTCCTGTTACCCCCCCGGATCCACACGAAGGAGCCTCTGGTCCCCACAGCAAGTGACGCAGGATAACTGTCCCAAAGCAACGAGCCTACAACACCGTGCCCCTGCACAATTCCACCAGGCAGTTGCTGCATCCCCTCTCCCAGCTACAGGGAAAACAAGCAGCAGATGGCTTGCTGGAACCGCAAGCAAAGGTCTTTTGCAATGAAGTCTCGCCACTCCAACGCTTCCGCATCCCTGCGGTAAGCCAATGTCCCATCTCCCCCGTGATCCCAGCCTAGGACAGTCTGTCAAAGAACACAAAGGGAACAGGGCAGGAAAGAGGGACAAGGCAAGAAGCAATTCTCTACACAGTCCAGTAACTTCCTCAAGGAGGAGAGTGACCTATGAGGCAGCCCAGTGCAGCAGCACCCTCCGAGCGAGGGAGTAAGGGCAGGGAGGTATGTCAGCTCATGGCATCCTGCCCACTACATCTCCTGGCACCTTGCTATAAAATGAGGCAGGGAAGAGAAGAGCCATAGAACTCCACCCTTATGGCAGATCCAGGCAGGTCTCACGTGTGCCACAACTAGATGCTAGTTGGGGAGGAATGGGCTGTGGTTTCCGAACTCGAGAAAGGCTCCAAGTCAGCAGTTGTACTGGCTACTGGGGACACTACGGGCAGTGCGGAGTCAAGGGAAGGCTCTTGGAAGCCTTGGGACTGACAAGGCAACAGTCAGGAAGAAAACCAGGTAGAAATGTGTGCTCATTGGAGCCTGTCTGCTTGCCGCACCCCAGAAGACCCCAGGTGTCCTGGAGCTGCCCCAAGAGGGACAATGCCAGGATGAATAATGATGCAGGCCTCGCTGCTGGAGTGGGATTATGTCAGCTTTAACAGTGTACTCTGCAGCTCTCCATCTCCACAAATAGCCGTGATGCCTTCTGGCTGGGGAGGGGCGGAGCAGCCTATGTGTTACGGATGCCCAGGGCCTGCTCCAGTTCCTGCCGTCTTTGCTGCACCTGCAAGAGAAGCCAGAATTGCAGCATTAATATACTCAGATGGTGCAGCACATCAGCATCCGAGTAACATGGGATGCAGCTGGAAAAGGGTGAACTCAAACTGGGACCAAGATGCACGTGAAGCTTAGCACTGCCACTTTCCACCACGGAGTGAGACAGGTACTCTGAGCCACTGGGTACAGAGAGGGACCCCCGCTCGGGGACACCCACCTTGGAGTAGAAGTATCTGCACACGGCTTCCTGTGCCCACGGCTGGAAGTAGAACTCAGCTCTACGCTCCTCTTCAGGATTCCCAACAACATCAGTCATTGTCTGGAAAGCACAAAGCACAAAACCGTTCAGGGAGCGCAAAAGCTCTGCACTGAGCAAACACACCCCACACCCCTCCCCTTTCCTCAAAGACATTTCAGTACAGTCAGGTCAGGTCCTTACGCGTCTTGCTTTCTGAGCAGGAAATTGCCTCTATCTCTGTGGGAGCTGGTTATAATGAGGGAAGCGTGTGGAAGGTGGATCCAGTCACACAAGACAAAGCTTTTACCTTTAAATCCCGGCACTGGGACTGTAGCCAGTCATTGATGAAGCCCTGAGGATCTCGGGCAAAGCTCAGCATGAACTCACGCTGGGTCTTCAGCTGGTTAATTGTCTCTATTGTTTCATGGATCTGAAGGAGATAAGCACAGCAACTAAACTGCTGAGTAGGGGAAAAAGTCAGACAGAAACAACAAGAGACCCAACACACGAAGGCAAAGTCTTATACTCCCTAGTCGACTTGCACCTATCAGACAGGATTTTCAATCATTACCAGTTTTCCCACTGACCATTTGCTTTAAAACTACACTTCCAGGTAAAGCCACCTGTTTGTAACCATGGCTGACCCCGCTGCAGCTTCCATCGCACAGCGGAGCACAGCTGAACTCCTGTCCTGTTCAGGGCTCGCCTGCTCTGGAGACAGATTCCTACCCAGCACTGAGGAGAGCAGACCCATAGGAGCTCCTCCTACCTTGTTATCCAGAGCAGCGATTTCCTGTTGGCTGGCTGTGGATAGCAAAAAGGAATTCATCTGAGTTTTCAAGGTATCATCCACCTCCACATCGATGTCATAGCAAGCTGTTTTCTTCTGGTCATTTGGATCAACACTAGAAAAAAGCCAAAGTAAGTAAGTAGCTCAAGAAAGCACCAAACTGTAGCTCTTCCAGGATGCTGCAGCATAAGGACTGCAGGCAGGGACAAGCTAAGCTGGCATTAAGCTTCGGCTCTAACACCAAGCAGCAAAGCTCCACTGATGGCTTTGCAGCACGAGGACCAAGTGATTGTTCCAAGCAGATTTCTATCTACAACAGTGTAATGCAAAGGACAGCACGAACGTGGGAGTGCCTTGCGGAAAAGAGGGATGTGGTGAATGAAAGGCGGCTGTTCTTGTACGAAGAAACAATGACAGGCAACATTGGAACTGCTGCTGAAAATCAGAACACATTACATCGTCTTCCTGTGCTGGCCTCACCCATCCCTTCCACTCTTCTTCCTAGAAATATGAAGTCAAGTGGACCAGTCTCACCTGATGACATGATTAATGATGATCGGTTCCGGGGGCATAAGCAACGCGTGAAGTCTTTGTGGGATTTCAGAGAACTTCATCCGCTGAGATTCAAATATCTGTGACAGAAACACAGGGCTAAGGAAAGGAATGGGAGCTCAGTGCCAGTGACCACTGGCTGCTGACAAAGACAAGCCGAAACAGTCGCTTGTTCCAGCCACAGTTACCTGCTGGAGGTATTTGTCACAGATGACATACTCCCGCTCATGGGGGTCCTGGAGCTTGTGGGTCTTGATATATTGCCACAATGCCTGGATGATCACCGGACGGGTCTGAGTGTGAATCCCCAAGAGACGGGCCAAGCGGGGATCCAATTTGAACTGGGGAGGCTGAAACAACAGGCACAGAAAGGTGAGATGGCCACAGGCACAGCTAACGATACACGCCCAGCACTGCTACTCCCAACATCTTACCTGGTAATCCAGCATCAGAAGGACAGTACAGCGCACATTTACATCTCCCGGCCTCTTCACCTGGAAGCCGTCTGTCTCCTGAGTTGTAGCAGTCCTGTGCCACTGAACAGGAGAAGGCATTTAGAAGCACCCCCAAGCTTCGTTCCCTTTGCTCCCGCTGCTTGGCGCCCAACAAGCTTGCCAGTAAATCCCACCCACCTAGAGAAAGTTCATCTTATTCCCACTTACAGCTTGAAACAAGAATTAATACATTTGTTCAAAGCCCCAGCAAGTCAAAGGAAAAGCTAAGATAAGAAATCAAGAGCTCCTGGCTCCCAGCCACTTGTTCAAGCCTTAAGTATCCCCACCTCTCAAGTTACAAATGATCTACAAAGCCTGTCTGCTGAAACACCAACCCATTTTTAGTGGTAACACAGCAAAAAGAAGCTCACCTCTACCAGGTGATTGTCAGGGCCATACAGGTCTTTATCAAGTTCAATGACCAGAGATTTAAAGAAGGATGAGAACTTTCTTTTCTGCTTGGTGGCATCATATTTGGACAAAGCAGACTGCAAGCAACACAGGAAGGAAAAGTGTTAGGACAGCAAGTCTCAGCACTCAAGCACAGCCACCGTGCACGACAGCGTTCCTTTAAGTTCTGAACACCTAAATTCACCAACGTGTGCTTGAAAATCAAGTTTCAAGTCAGAAAGTGAAAGACTGGAGTTAAAGATGAGCTTGCAGGAATTAAATCACTCAGCAGTTACATACAATGCAAGCACCCTGCTTCTCAGAGCCAGGGTACGCAAGTGCCACTGATCTGCTCTCACCATTCATTCTTAGAGCTATAAGAACTTTGTATAACTCATGTCCTGCCACGGGGATACCCATCCGTCTCCAAGTTGGGCTCTCGGTCTCTTCACCATCAGACTCCTTGGAAAACAGAGATGAAGGAGGATATCAAGCCCCTAGCTACACTCTCAGACACTAAGAAACTGGTTTCATTGCCAATTCCAGACCCATAAAGTCACCTCTGTGGCTGGGTATTTCACACTTACATCTTCCAGCAGCCGTCCTTCCACCCGAAGCTCCCAGGAGGCGACTGTTCCTTCACCATCCTCTGCATCCGACTTGGCTGGATTGAAGGTATTGGAGATAAAAATACGTAGCTTTCGTTTTTGCTAAGAGAAAAAGCATCGTCTCAGTGTTAATTCTGAAATAAAGGGCTGACTATCTTGCTTATGTTTTGCTAGAACTAAGCTTAATGTTTTTTGCTGCATGATATTGCCCCCCCCTCCCATGGCAGACAGCAAGGAAAGAGGCATTTCTGGTTCCACCTCTCAGTTATGTCTGGAGCATTAAGATTCCAGGGACACGACCCGAGCTTCAGCGCTCTCCTGCTGGCTTAACTCAAGCAAAAGCCTCCAAACCTCGCTCAGGATAACGATGACAACCCTCCCCTACCTTAATGGGTCGCTTCAAAGCCTCCTGGATATCTAAGCGTTTCCTCATGATCGTCTGGTCCAATTTCCTTTCAAAGGCCAGCAAGTCCATGTAGGCCTGAGACTCGGGTACAAGTTCACGAATCTAGAGCCAATCAAGAATGCAAATCACCGTCAGCTTGCCCGCACTTCTCTGGTCTACTTCGTATCAACAGAGGCTGCAACTTCACGTTCCACTCACCCTCTGAGGTAGAATTTTGTCAGCCATCTTCTTCTTTTTAGCGCTGTTGAGGAAGAAGATGCAGACGCAGGCATTAAAATGGCAACGGCTTTGTGCAAATTAACTGCAGGCGTTCACGAAGGGAGCGAGACGACGGCTTATTCTCTGGGTTTGTACTGTGGCACGAGCAGCACGCTCAGCCAGGATGCCAGTCTCGGGCCCAGGCTCTCACGTTCAGAGGCATTTATCGTGACTGGCAGCGCAGAGCCAGGCTCTTTATTCCCACAGCCCCTGCCAGGGCTTCAGCACCGCGAGCTGACGAACCCCGCAGCAGCGTGACTAACTGATTACCTGAACGTGTCGAAAACCCCCCCCCGAGAGCTCGGAAAGCGCGGTTACATCATGCTGAAAAGGCCGTGCTGACATAATGCCAAACAAAGCGACTCTCTAGCCTCAATTAGCTTCAGACCGACCTTTCTAAGGGATGTGTTTGAAATCAAGGGGTGAATTACCCGTGTTACTGAGGAATCACGTCATACTGCCAGAAACGTGACATAAACTGCTGCTGTCCAGCAGCTGCACGTTATTCTTTCACCTGCTGGAAGCCCCCCTCTCCCACAGGAGCTGCACGAGAAAGCCCACGTCCCTTTCAGCCCCCCA